ACTATATTCTGGTTTTCCTTCCTCAAAAATATTGCAATCAGGGATAGGTTAGTTCGTTAAGGATAAATAGTCTCTGAGTTTTGCCTCAGTACTTCGAAGATGAGATATTACGGTGGGCGTGGTTTGTGCTAGCGTAAAGTAGGTATATTTAGTAAAATCGCACGCTGGCGGCGGCTGATGGACAATGGGCGAGTGAACTGATTATGAATTCTTGGCATTCAATCACTCCATTATGTCGTAAGAAACCTAAATTAATTTTTACAACACTTCTCACGTTATTTTTTATGTGAATAATACGTCAATGCGTTGTTCAAAATCGTTGAATTTCAGAGTTCATTTCAAACGTAACATCAGTGCCGCCATTTGGCGATATAAAAAATGCTGACGTCAGTTTTCATGCTGTTTCGTTATTGGTCAGATAATCTTCAATTTCCACTCATGAAACAGTATTGTCAAGTCACCAATTATAATCAAGTTATCAGAAAGTTGTTTGAGTCCAGTCGTTGAATTAAACATAATAGGAGGAACTCATCACATAGTTCATTCTCGACTTCTTCGAGCAACCAGCATGTCCAAATGATTATTATTCTCCATAACAAAATATCATGGAAACTTGGCAACATTGTGCTGAATGCTGAGAACTGCAAGAACACGCCCACAAGTCGTTCGTGGGGTTGTCACGTTCATCGATCCAAATGTCCTCTAGTGTGAATTAATATAATTATTATTCACACAAATTTATTATAAGCAATAAGCACCAAATCATAAGGAGACATTTTGAGACAATTGAATTTTTATTGCTTATTACTCAATTGAGAATTTATGAATTATTGAATAACTAATATTTCTGAAGCCCCCAATCGTATTTCAACACATTGCGACTATGCTATGGTCTCCCCTTCTTACGAAATCGTGGCGTCAGTTGTTAATGGCGGTTAATTTCTAGCCGTTTGAAAATTACCGTGACATTATTGAAAATTTAAGCACCTAAGAAAAACATTTTTTAAAAGGATATGAAATTGAAAGGTATTCGAGTGATGATTCTATTCAAGAATTGCACAAAAAAATTAATAAATCCCGTTTTAGCCAAACTATCCATTTCTGAGGAACCTCCTGAACGATATCGATGCCAATCTTCAATTGGTCACATTTCTATTGGAAAATTAGATAATACTGGGCTATCTACGTTTGAGTAATGGAGTCCGCGACAATTACTCTAAATGGAACACCATCTATATTATTGAATTTTCAGAATCTTCGTAGAAGGCTGAATTGAAAACTATATCTCACAGTGCTATCGTCAAATTGGGTTGCCATTAAAAAAATACTAATGACGTAATTTCTCCTACAACAACTTTTCTGTATGTTCCATTTAAATTGGAAGAGTGCCTGATTAAACATAAAACTCGACGGCTCTGAGCGTTTTTTCCAAAAATTATTCCTTCAATTTTTAACGAATTTGTCCACCACTTCTTGAAAACAAATAATTCAATAAGCGCACTGTATACAAACTTCCACAAGAAGGATTATTGTCAAAAATGCACTTTTTTTCAAATTTCATCCAATTTGTTTCAGTCATTTCTGAACAGCGTACGTATGTGTTTTTTATGTAAACTTTGAACTCGTCTCACGGACAAACGGTACTTTTTTATATAAATAAGTTGGGTCCAATCTACTTATTTTGAACTGCAATACACGTGCTAGCTCTGTGTGCCAGCAATTTTGAGACACCCTCACACGCCTCATATGTGAGTACATAGCTAATATTACAATTATTGTGTCTCATTGCAGTCAATACAATAGCAGAATGGTGAAGGAGCAAGAACTAATTAATAATTAATCTTTGATAGAAGTCCATATTGCTCAAAGTGGAGTGAAATATTTCTCAACTTATTTTATGATATTCCATAGTCAATGATTTTTCAGGTTTGCTCTACTCTCCCCTACATGCACCCCTCCTCCTAAAACCACATTCTTCAATAGTTGTAATAGATATTGTTATATGGCTATGCTCATGGTCAGATTTTCATGTTGTATCCCTTGACATTGACATTGACTCTATGTCAACGTCTTGTCCATGTCTTTAATTGACATAATTTTCAGTGTTTTCTGACCAAATCAGTTTAGATTTAAAACACGTGCTGGCTGTGTGCCCCATCAATTCCATAGATATTCGCCTTTGAATAACGCTTTCATGAGGGAACGGGGAACCCTTTTTTTAAATGCTAGTTTATGGTGTTGTCAAATAATAAACTGTTTTGACAATACCCTTCATATACCATTTTGGTATAGAAATGTTCATTAATAAGAATAGTATACGCTCTTAGGGCACGGGGCCCTTCATTTATTGAGAACCCGTTTTTTCAGAACCTTGGAACTCTTGACTATGAGCATTGACATTTCAAGGAATAGTAGCATCATAATAAAATAATTTGTTCAACTCCAAGTAAGTCTAGCATAAAAAAGGTAATTATTTCATTTCAATATCAGTTGTTTTGTATTGACCTTTCAATTATGCTGAAGATGGTCTTTTATAAGACCGAAACATGTCCCTCATGATTTAGTAATAATATCATTAAAATTTGTGGAGATGTCTTCGAGCATTCCTTCCTTCCTGTGTAATTAATAATTGTTTTTGTACTGAAATGAAATCTGCGCCTATACAAAAAATAGAGAATATTAATGCAATGGTTCTTCATGAACTTCCAGGAAGAAGAGAAAATTTGAATATAAAAAACTTCACTTTTCTCCTCTCACCCTCTGAAGAAAATGTACTGGCGAAACCCAAAAGTACGGCACTGGTTGCACCTATTATTCAAGCCAGAAGAGTAAGCGTCTCGCCGCTTTACATGGAACCCCTTTCATACTGACTGGGGCCCAAAAAAACAGGCGAATTAAAGGATGTCGGGTGGTTTAATTCTGCTACGAATATTCGGGAAATGTTTCCAGAACAGCTAGCAGCATTGAGGAAACTGGGTTAAGTTTTTTTTCTTGGAAAAGACAATAGCTTTGACGAAAGAATCGGTATTAGGCCAATCATTTTAGCAAAAATGAAGATAAAATAGCAGAACATTTTGAAATTCCACAAAAGTTGTATTTTAGTGTTAAATGATACTATAAAAACTTGCCCTATCGAACAAGGCACACGGAAAAAAAAGTTTTGTTGCACCAACAAAATAATTTTGGTCATTTTCTTCTTGTTGAATCAAACACAATTTTGTTAAATCAACAAAATATATGATCATTTCGAATAAGCAACCTAGTTAAAGAGACAAAATAATTTGATTGAAATATTTGCTTACTTGAACAAAAGTTTCAGTTCATTCAACAACATTTATAGTTGACATAAAAATAAAACAAATTTTGTTGATCCAACTATTATCTCATTGTTCAATCAATCATATGCATTTTGTCTATTCGACAAAATTTAATTAATTTTGACAAAGATTTAACTGAATACAACATCATATTTTGTTGAGTCAACAATCATTTCATTGTGCAACCAATCAAAGGTTTTTTTTCTATTCGACAAAATTGAATTGATTATGACAACATTATATTTTGTTGATTCAACACATCACTATCAAGAAATATGTTGTTTATTCAAACAAATTACTTTGTTGAACAGAACCCATAAAAACATTATATCAAACAAATATTTTGTTGAATGATTATCTAGTTGCATTTTTGCCACCAGGTGGCGTTTCTTTCAACCTTCCTACGCTTGCCTCGATTGGGGTGTACATATACCTACCTAAAACATCTATTTATATAATTATATTAGGCTGTCCTAGGATTTCTTATGACGCTTATACAAGCTAATAACCTCGAATCAACTGAGGAAATTGGTATCTCTAATTTCTCTTAGTTTTGAAATTCAGTTATTGGATTTTTGTTTATATTATTCAGCAAAATATTTTGTCAATTCAAAAGACAATTTGCTTAATCGAAGAATATAATATATTGTTATTTTAACATATTCACTCTCTGAAAAACTGAAGATTTTTTTCACTCGAATGAATATCATTATCATTTCAATCAACTGAATCATTTATAAGAGCAGATATTAATTGTATTATAGGAACCCAATAGTCTTTGTTCATTCAACCAATTCCTGCTATTAATTTGAATAATTAATGAGTAACATCAAATTAATTTTGAATTGAAAACTGACAAAAAAAATTGTTGCGGTGACAATAATACAGACAAAACTTCTAAATTCGAGAAATCAGGAGTATACAAACTCAACGGTGGATCTTGTCCTAAGGTATATATATATCGGTCACACAGGTCGTACGTGTAATCAGCGCATTCATGAACATAAGAGGAATTTTTCAAAAAAGGAAACAAATTCAACATACGCCAACCATAAATTAGAGGAAAACCATAGTTTTCATGATAATTTCGAAATTCTACATGTAGAAAATAAAGGAATGAAACTCAATCATTTTGAAAGTAACAAACTCAAAAATTTTGATATTTTCAATAGTTTACCACTGTTGAATTTGTTTTCTTAGTAGATAATAATATTTATTTGATATCAACCCTTTCAAGTTGATCCGGTATACCGTAATTTGATGTAGATATTGTGCCTAATTTCCGAAAATGGAGGTTTTTTGATCCTGTCCACAGGTAATTAATCCTTCAAGTTGGGAAAGTAGGATATATAAAAGTTGAGCAAGCCAACGTTGGTTTAGTTCATTGTACCAGTATATCACCTGACGAAGCTACTGTGTTAGCGAAACATGTTGTGTGTTTAAGAATTTTGTGGAAATCTTATCGTTTGTGAAGTTTTTACATTTGCCATGGTTTTCCATCAAGTAACGGCCTAGTCAATTCAAAAAAAAGAAATTGAAATTGGCTCATTTCTGGAATTTTCTTGCTATTATTTTTCCCTCAGTGCTTTGCACCTCTCGGGGTTCGCTCTCGAGCTAAAAATCGCACATTGGAAAAAATCTTGCATTTCTGTCCCTCGATGTATAATAATGTACTATTTCTAGACACCAAGCCGAAGCTGAAGAACCACTATCGCGCCCACCGGCTCTCCTTCTGGCTCAACCTGGTGCCGGACCTGCACCGCCCGGGCGGCGACGACGTGCCCCCCGCCCACCACCGGCTGCCGCCCGACGACGACCCGCCCACTGCGCCACCGCCTACCCTGAATCCCCGGCGGCCGCCCACCACGGAGGGCGCGCCCGGGCAGCCGGCCAGGGCGGGCGGAGTGCTGGCGGGGACGGCGGGGTCTGCCTTCGAGTCGACGGAGAGGGTAGAGGAACTAGGTGAGAGTTGGAACTATACCTTTTCAACTTCAATTTCGGAATCGGTAAGTTATATTTCGGAAAAAGTAAGTAATCTCGATTTCAGAATTGGTTAGTTCGATTTCAGAAATGGTAAACTCAATTTCAGAATCGGTGAGATGAATTTCAGAAAAAGTCCATTCAATTTCAGAAATGGTAAGTTGTATTTCAGAATTGGTAGATTCAATATCATGAAAAAAATCCTTATATTTGTTCGAAATGTTTCCAATTGCACGTGAAATTAACAAACCATATTTAAAATATTCAACTTTTCAAAAACAATCCACAGATGCCTTCCATCTGAATCGCTGGAAGATAGTGGCGTTGCACAATCATGATTAATAATAATAATAATAATAATAATACTTTTATTGCTTCCAAAAACGGGTTTACAGCAAGAAGTATGTGTGTGTGAGAATACACAGTATATATATAAAGATTAATAAGTAAAATAAAAATCTGCTACCAGTGAATTGTAAAAACTTAAATGTATAATAAACTACATCATACGTTCAATATAAATGAACGTAACCTAAGGATGTTCCAGATATATTCGGAGATTTCTTTGGCTATAGAAATAGAAATATTCTCTAAAGCATGGATAAGTTCTTCCAAATTCTGAAGGCACTGTATATTTCGTTTCATAACAGTGTAAATCGGGCATTCAAAAATGATATGAAATAAAGTTTCGGCTTTATTACTATTGCAAACAGTGCATTTTACATCTGGATCGATCGAATACACAATTCCATTCAAAGTAAACTTAATTTTGAAATGATTGGCCATGCGTAACTGTGCAAGAGTGCGGGTAATTTGTATAGGTAACTTTAACAGCAGATATGAGCTTGGTTCCTTTGAGGTACTCAGAGAATTGTATATATACATAAAAGGGTAACGAGATGCCATAGAGACATCTTTGTTGAACAGATAACTGTAATAATGATTTACTATATATATTTCTCCTATTTGAAATCAAAGTGTGACCAGTCATACTGTTCCAAATTTCCAGAGATCCGCTATCGATAAAAAATTGCTTTACTTGAAGTGCCCAATTATATTTTGCATCAGTCGTATTTATTAATCTTATTTGTTGTTCAAAACAAAGTCTTGGGTAACGATCACTTTCCATGGTAAGAATCTTGTACAGCCAGTTTAAGGTAATTTTAAAAATATTAAATGCAAGTTTAACAGTTTATTTAAGAATGCAAACACATTTGAGGTGTTATCATTTTCATTGAATAATCTGCACATTCTTCAAGACATCGCAGTCTGAATTTTATCTGGCTGAGCAATCTGTTCGTATCTCCAGCTATGACCCTTTGGCGATGCTCTTGCAAGAAGCTCTTCACTTCTGACTTGAAGGCACCCCATATATGTTCAATCTGATTCAACATAGGGCTCTCAAACACCGTTCCATCCACTGTAAACAGTCTTCTCTTTTGCAATTAAAAACATTTCAAACATATAAAAGGATTTCATCTTCTGAAATTGAACCTACCAATAATAATTCTGAAATACAACTTACCATTTCTGAAATTGAATGGACTTTTTCTGAAATTCATCTCACCGATTCTGAAATTGAGTTTACCATTTCTGAAATCGAACTAACCAATTCTGAAATCGAGATTACTTTTTCCGAAATATAACTCACCGATTCCGAAATTGAAGTTGAAAAGGTATAGAGTCTAGCGCTAGCCATAGCACCATAGCGAGGTAATATTGCACCTCGCTCGCTGCTCGCTGGGCGCGAGAAACTGAAAATTTCCGGCTGATTCTAAGAAGCAGGCGCGTATCTATGGGGGGGTAGAGGGAGTAATTACCCCTCCCCCCAAAGCCCCTCCTCAATCCTCGAAAAATATTCACAAAAAATACAAAACTTAATGAATTGATATAACCAGGACACAGAAGTTTACTGTTACTCAAATATATAACTATTATCATAAACACATTATTAATCCTGTTATTTTTCGCCGGTATCACTGTGGTATGGTCCCATAGAATGACCATATAAGAGTCTCATAGGGGTGGTACCTTCTACCTACCCTATTCGTGTTGACCTGTGGTTTTGCCGGAAATCGAGATACACCGTTTTTTACCCTTAAAACTCACCCCCTTTCACTTCCCGACCTGAGATCGCCCGTTAATTTATTTATCCTTTCATTTTTGTTATAATCTCGTCCTTTCTCAACGGGTTTCATCCTACCATTATTTTTTTCTGTTTAAAAAATTATCGACCCTGGTCTATACGCTAAATTCCACTAGAAATGGTATATTACACACCGAGGTGGCAAGTGATTCATTCCAGTCGTGAGATTAGTAAGTTAACCGAGACGCAAAGCGTCGAGGTTGGCTATATACAAGGTGATTCTAAAATAGGTGGTCAAACTTTGGGAGTATATAGAGTAAGTGAAATAATTACGAAAACCTCGGTAACATTTTCTTCTGAAGTGCCCCCCACGAAAGATACAGCCCCTCAAAGGGGGGCCTCGGAGAATGATTTTGTACTATTATCTCCAACACCTTGTATGATGAAGATCTAAAATTTTGTTTATCCACTAACTATTCAGTGCCGGTTCGAATGGAGTTAAAATCACCTCAAAATTGAATACAGAGGTGTGTCAAAACAGGGAGGTAGGGGGTAAAAATAACCCCAACTTTTTTTTTCATTTCAATTTCAGTTTTTTTACATGAAATTATCAAATCTCAGGGCTATTATCATAGAAAAGGAGCTCTTGTTGAATCTCGATAAACTGAAACATTAGCGAATAAAATTTATTTTTCCAAGATTTCATTTAAATTACAATTTTGGTATGCACTCGTTTAATTATCTAGTTCAAATTTTGCAACTTAATTTTTACCTACTTCTAATCGTCAGTGACAGTTGACAACGCGTTATGGACTTTTTGATAGGAAAAAATATGGCGGCTCCAATATGGCTTACCAGATTTGTAATTATGATTCGATTCGATTCAAATTTGGTTTGTAAGGGTTTTTGTCATTTTGAATTCGTTGTCGAAATTGATGAATTAAAAATAGACGACGAGTTTCGTGATTATGGTCTGATCCTATTGAAGATACTAAAATGAAAAATATTGTTGAAAACAAGCTTTTTGTAAATTTTATTCGCTAATAGTTCATTTTAGCGAGATGCAACAAGAACACATTTTCCATGTAAATAGCCATAAGATTTCATAATTTCATGTCAAAAAACTGAAATTGCGATGAACAAAAAAGTTGGGGTTATTTTTACCTCCTACCTCCCTATTTTGAAACACCCCTGTATTTTATTTTGAGGTGATTTTAACTCCATTCGAATCAGCACTGAATAATAAGTGGATAGACAAAATTTTAGATTTCCATTGTACAAGGTGTTGGAGATAATAATACAAAATCATTCTCCGAGGCCCCCCTTTCAGGGGCTGTATCTTTCTTGGGGGTCACTTCAGAAAAAAAAGTAACAGAGGTTTTCGTAACTATTTCACCCACTCTATATGCTCCCAAAGTTTGACCACCTATTTTAGAATCACCTTGTATAATTTCGAGACAGGAATGGAAATTCCTACCGAGGTTTGTGTACTATTTTATTTACAACCATCATATTTTGATCAAAATTAATGAAACTATGTTTCGTTCTGAACATACATGAATTATTACATGAGTGAGGGCCGGAAATGAGGGCGGGAAGTATTGAGGGGCGGGAAGTGAGGGAGGGAAGAAGAGGTGTGTAATGTGACACTTCCCAACCTTCAATGACGTTAGTAATGACAACATTACATATATGGTTGTAAATAAAAGTGAATTTCGAACTCCGATGAAATCTTGTGAAACAAGATGAAGTCACCACAGTGAATGAATAACTCGAATGTGTTTCAGGAGGTATCAGCACCACAAGCCATCCCATCGAAGATGGCTTCGCCGCCTACTCGACAGCGCTCAGCGTCACGATTGCCATCGGCTGTTCGCTCCTCATCCTCAACGTCCTCATCTTCGCTGGGGTCTACTACCAGCGTGACAAGACGAGGATGAACGAGAACAACGGTATTGTTATCTTAATTAATTTGTTGAGGGATTTTCTTGAATCCTGTTGTTTTTGATTTGCAGCTTTTTCTTGGGGTTTGGATTCGGTTTCATGAAATTTTAATTAATAAAAAACGCCAGTCGGGCAATCCACCACTCCCATATCTATCCTTTTGTCCTGCGTTTTGTTGTGCCATTCCTGGCCTTCCCGCGGAAGTGATAGAATGAGTGGACCGTGGGCCCAAGAAAACGGATCGGCGCCAGACAATGAATATATATATGGAACTGAAGAAACGTTTCGATATTTTCAACTTCAAAATCTAAATAATTTATGTGTCTCTGGTATGTAACTATTTCACCATTATCGTCAGTCTGCTTTTGAAGTAAGGTACACTAGGGTAACTGTAAATTTGGGGCAAGATGGAACCCAGGCTGATTATCATCACATTTTTGTCTGTAAGGTGGCTCTGTCTATCGCATAATGAACCTACCCATATCCCCTGAATGCTCAGTGATATATCAAGCTACCCAAACAAGAATTATGGTTCGACCCTACCGATATTTGGAATAGTGTCCATTTACACGTCGTGTACCGAGCAAGCACGTGTTAGTTGGTGTATATTCAAAGTTTCTCATGTGAGTAGCTCAAAAACAAAAACAATACTTCTTTGTATTTTGAAGGTATGAAGGACATATATTTGTTCACGTGGAGGGAATGCCATATAGGCTACACTTGCCCCTCGACTTGCCCCTGGAAAATAACATATAGGGGACAGTGTAACCACGTGTAACCTATGTTAAGAAATAATTAAGGTGTACTTTCTGGGCGACGCAGATACTCATTTTTGATCAAACAATTCGTTCAAACTCCAAATAGGCTCTAATTAGACTCAAATTAGGCTCAAAATAGAGCTTATAGGTACTTAATAGAATTCAAGAACCTCTTTTAAATGTTTTTCTTTCGTTCTTCTTTTTCTCCTGATAGTGCCGTGACATTGAGCTTCGGTCACCCTGTACAATATATATACAGAGTACTAGTTGATTTCTTTCTATGCGAGATTTCGAAAATGAATGCCACAATACATGATATAATGGGTTATGTCAAACGACTACGAAGACATAGCCAATTTTCTGATGTATATTACGCTCAATGTGGGTTGTTCAATGAGTTGGTCAGTCTATCCTGCAATCAGCGGTAATCCTACAGTCTGTATTATTTTCCCGGTCTCAACTCATTGATTCATGCGACAATTTCTTGAGGATATTCAAAGTTTGTCTTCTTGCAACTACTAATGCAGGCTCCGATCAGAACGGTATCACAGATCGTGTTCCCGGTTATCCCTCTGTGACTTAGAACCCTTGATTGGCTAGTTCGTCACAGTCAGATATAGCATGATATTTCTAATTATCCAGACTTCACAGCCTCTTTGATTTTTTATTTTCCTGCTTGGTGTATGCTCGTATTGGAAGAGATTAGTTTTTGTCTTCATGAGATTCAGTGAAATCTTCACGATAGTTTCTGATTCTTTTCTCCATCAAAGATGCCGAGGCCACAGCCATAAATTTCGAACTCGTCAGAGATTTCAACATGTGGTAGGAACACCAGAAGACTTGTCACAATTTCCAGATTGGAAAAGCGTGCTCTGTCTTCAATTTCAGCTTTGGTAGCAGAAAGAGGACGGTGTTGAAAAACAACAAAAAATCTATGAGACCTGCAACTCATAAGTTTCTGATTTTCTGTTCATTCAACCAGTTTATCTGGTCTAAAGTTTCCTATTGACTTCATCCACCTCATGAGCTCTGGGATGTGAAAATTAATACAAGTTGTATGTTGAATTAGGTGGCAGCCACCAGCCGAAGAAGCGCAACGAGAACGGCCAGATGCCCAACAACATCTGCGGCGACCTCGAGAGCAGCATCATGGGCGTGAAGGGCGACCCCGCCACCATCCTGGGCCACCACCACTCGCACCACCAGCTGCCGCCCCCGGAGTTCGCGGACCTGCCGCAGAACAACTCGACGTTGCCGCGACCGCCGCCGCCGCCCAAGCTCTCCAAGGCCAACGTCAACACGCTTTCTGCGCACCAGGTGCCAGAGAACCAGCCTCTGCTGTCCGCGCACGGCATTCAGCTGATGCACACGGGCACGCTGACCAAGAAGAACACGCAGATGAACGCGAAGCACAACATCAAGATGGAGGAGCTGCGCGTGTGACGTAATGGGCATGCGCGCGGCTGACTGCAATAACTCTTGCTCAAACGTTTTTCGTTAATTTGTGGGGGTATAGTGGAGTGATGGTGAACGTATTGTCAGTGAACAAGATATCAATTTCTTTGTGAGATGTGGAATGCAAGCAATTCTGGTACCATAGTCTGAATCTACGCTGGCACAAGAGCTGAAACTGATAATTGATTCGTCATTATATCATCTTATACTGAAACTATACTTGTGGTCGGTGATCAAAAATTGAGAAATAATGGTAGAAGAAGTAGAACTTGCAAGACTTCACAAAAACACTTGAGTTCAATAAAAGCGAGTGAATAAAAATGATTAGTATGATTTGATCCCATTTGTCGTGAGTTTTTCAAAGAACCTATACACCTACAATATTTGTTTTCATCTGAGAATAAAAGTTAACTCTATTGAATCTATGGAAGTTCATTGATAAATGGCAGATATCTCTTTACTAACTGAATCGACAATATTTTTCTCATATTATTACCTTCGTCATCGCTAATGTATTCAAAATGGTTATTTTATATATATTTCATAAGACCGAATTCCAGATAGCATTACTTTAGATTCTTTTCAAGAAGTTTCATGAAAATATTCTCATTCAACGAATTTTTGTTTTGCGATGTGGGGTGTCAAAGTTGGATGGCCAAAAAAAATGCGCCGACGAACTCGAAGCATAACGACAAGATGGAGGATCTGCGCGTGTCTCGTGTAATGGCGGTGCGACACCGGCTGACTTGCAATAACTTCTGGTCAAGTATTATTGCTTTTGTTTCCGTGTGAGTTAGGAATAATAATAATCATATATTATCATAGGAAACAGGAAAGTTGACCTAGAAGAACACGCAGATGCAGATGAACCAGAAGCACAACTTTCAAGATGTAGGAGCTGCACATATGATGCAATACACTACACTGTTTTACCACTAACCAAACCGATTTTTTAACGCCTCGACACGTGTTTCGCTAACTATGTTAGCATCTTCAGAAGAAGATTAAATTCAGTTTTAATCTTCTCCTGAAGATGCTAACATAGTTAGCGAAACACGTGTCGAGGCGTTAAAAAATCGGTTTGGTTAGTGGTAAAACAGTGTAGTGTATTATCGTGCCAAAGGTTCCAGTCTTCGATATATATGATGCAATGGAAATGCTCGCGGCTGACTGCAATAAATTTTGCTCAAACGTTTTCCGTTTTCTTTTCAGTGGGTAGAGCGGAATGATAGTGAACATGAAGATATCAATTTCCTTGAGAATACCTAGTGAAATCCAAGCAATGTTGATTCCAAATGAGAAATAATGGTAGAAGCAGTCGAACTCGCGAGATTCCACATGACCATTAAAGTTGAATAATAGAGAATCAACAGATAATTGGTATGATTTGATTCAATTTTTCGTGAGATTTCCAAAGAGCCCATCCACCTACAATGTTTAAATTTCATTTGAATATAAACACCAGGATGTTTCGAAGAAAAATTATTCATTTCATCACCATGAAATGAATCAAATTTGCAACCAATGTATCTCTTTGGACGTTCATCAAACACATCACTGATTGAGGAACAATTTTGGCCAACCTTCAGTTAACCCTGTTAAATCTACAGGGTGAGTCATTAGTGTGGCAAAGTGAGATAACGGCTCTACTGTTCGAGATAGATGAACAAAACTTCCAGAGATGATCTAGGATCATGAGCAGCACATTTCCAAATTATTTCGCTTCGTACATGGTGACTCATAAATGCGTGGCGTATCAAAGGTATACTTTTTCTTATGGTACACCCTGTATTTCATTGCATTTTCGCATTCTCCTTTGAGAGCTGATTTCATCAATGCATCACACTTGGGGTCTAGCGGGAACGATTACAGAGATAAAGGGTGTTCAAAATCGAGATTTTTCAACTTTAGGATTTGTTTGTGTGGAAACTATTCATTATCGGCCAAAACAGCTTTCACGTCCCTATCCCAACTTTTGATTTACTATCTACTGACATTCAATTGGAACAGATACAAGGGTGATCAGAATGCTGAATCTTGAACCACCCTGTATTTGCTATATAAGATGTTGAAGTTTTTCAAAACCAAATTCCAGAAAGCATTACTTCCGATTCATTTTGAGAAAGAGAAGATCCATGAAATCATTCTCATCCAAACAGTTTCTGTTTACGATGTGGGGCGGTGAAGTTGGATTCAACTAGGGCCATAAAAAACGCGAAGACGAACTCGAGGCACAATGACAAGATGGAGGATCTGCGCGTGTCCCGTGTAATGGCGGCGGGACCGGTAATAACTTCTGGTCAAACATTATTGGTTTTGTTCTCGTATGATTCAGGGGCTACGGTGGAATCAGTGGAAGTTATGAAATCATATCTTATCATAAGAGCTGAAAATTCTCTGTTGTCCGCGCACAGCTTTCAGCTGATGCACACGGACAGGTTGACCAAGAGGAGCACTTGCAATAACTTGTGCTCAAATGTTTTTCGTTTTTCTTTGTAGGGGTAAAGTAAAGTGGTGGAGGCGACCTCTCGTGAACGTATCAAATTCCTTGTGAATAGCGAATTGCAAGCAATTTTGATACCATATATTTATACTGACACAAGAGCTGGAAGTGATGATTATTGCGTCATCATATTATTATCTATGCTGAAAGTTTTGTGGTCAGTTATCAAAGGTGAGAGATAATTAAAAGCGAATGAACAAATGATTGGTGTGATTTGATGGTTCCATTCATCGTAAGCTTTTTCATGAACATGTAATAATATATTCATTTTCACTTGAAAATGAAAGTTGATTCTCAAAAAGAATAAATGGTACATGATATTCAGAATCAATCTCAATGGGTTTGAATGTTTATCAACTATATTGGACGAAGTAAAATTAGTTTTATTCCGGAGTACACGGTAACCTTTTAGTTACCTCTATTGAATCTATGGTAGTTCATTGATGGTATAGATATCGCTTTATGAAACAGATTCGATAATCTTCTTCTCGTGTCATCTTCGTGATCGTTATCTATATGATTCAGTGATGGCGCTAAACACACCATCCATATTAAACAAGGTATGGTCAAAATTAACAAACCTGTATGGTTGAGCTTTCCAGGACCAAATTCCGGATAGTATTATTTTCGATTCATTTTATTTTGGAAAAAGAATGAGAAGGGACATCCCAATATTCATGTAAGGAGTTTCCATTTGCGATTAAGAATATTGAAGTTGAATTCAACTATGACCAAGAAGAACACGCAGATGAACTCGAAGCCAAAATGTCAAGATGGAGAAGCTGCACGTGTGGCGTAATGGTTGACTTGCAATGACTTATTTCCAAAGCGTTTTATTTGTGGGGGTAGAGTGAAGTTGACAGTTGACAAGATATCAATTTTATTGCCTTGTCGTTCATTATCCACGAGAGCAATTCTGATACCATAGACTGAATCTTTGCTGAAAAAATACTTGAAACTGATAATCGATGCGTCATTAATGTCATTATATTATCTATGCTGGAAGTTTTGTGGTCACTGGTCGAAAATAAGAGATAATGGTAGAAGAATTAACCAGATTCTATATAAGCAGTGAAGTTGAATAGAAGGAAATGAAGTAATGATTAGTATGATTTGATTAAATTTTTTGTGGGGTTTGCAAAGGACCCATGCATTCACCTACAATATTCGTTTTCATCATTTGGAAATGAAAATCAGGGTGATTCGAAGAGAAATCATTCATTTTATCCCCAGAAAAAGAGTACATATCTCTCAACAAACTAGCTTCTTCTCGTATCATCTATATTGTCAGGGGTGATACCATTCTTGCCAGCAATACAATCTATAGTAATCAAATCAATGTATATACCTGTTCGAGCGTTTCTTTTAAGAAAGCACTTTTGGTTACTTATTTTTACCTCTATGGTATGTATTTTCAAAACTTATTCGATTACCTCATTATCGTAGTGTTACTGCTAAGTATGATTTGGTGATTTTGCACTGTTTGTTCCATCCACATTATACAGGGTGATGAAGTTTTATAGGACCGAATTGAAGAATTAATGCAACATAGAAACGCATATTTCGATCAATAAAAAAGAGATAGATAAAAAGAAACGATATATTCCGATGAATTCCAAACGTAAATTCAGCTACAGCTAATGCAAAGTTCAGTGATGACGTTGAGTATTCATTTGTTGGAAAGGAGGGTGAAAATTTCAACATCGCTGATGTCATGAGTCTAAGGTCTATACCTAACGCTAACACAAATTCTAAGTCGGAAATATGGCTGAATTTCATGATTATTATTTTTCCTAACTTTTTTGCAAATATTGATCCCAATTACAGCATAACTGGTACAAAATTTGACAATGAAGGCTTTTTAGGATGAGAAATCAAGATGTGGATAGTTTCGACGTGAATTGTAGAGGAAGACACCAACATCATTGTTTCAGAGATTCGATATTGAAAAAAGAATTGTCATTCCTAGTCCTATTCATGTATGTATGTGAAAAGTTCACTCTGTAGAAGATCATGAAACTGATACCATGTTATATGTTTAGCAATCTATCAACATTATTGATTCAATGATTATGTAAATATCAAAGGCTCAGAAGATACACTATATTTTGACTTAGGTGTACGCCTACTGATTATATCCAATTTGTATTTTTTCGAGGAATTTTATTATGGATGAATATTTTTGATCACTTTTAACTTAAAACATGATCATGATGACGCATCTCTTATAATTTCATCTCTTCTATCAGCGCAAGAATTTAATCTTTATGCCGAGAGGATTGATAATCTTGTCATTTCATTTTGTCTATGAATATTATGGGTTTGTATACTGTTGCTACTCTGGAAAATCATTTGAATGGATATTTATCTCACACTGAATAGAATTCGTCATGCATTCGTAGCTCTTCCTCTATTCCTCAAAATGTGTACTATCGAAAGCTACGTCAATCAGATCAACAGGAATCACAATAATATAAACTAAACA